GGTTTAATTGTTGGGCCCCTTTGGCCTAGATTGAACTGTTGGGGCCCTTTGGCCTTAAGCTACTGTTCACCAAATTGTAGGTTTTAATTGAAGGAGTGTTTGTTGTAACTTCAGTAATTCAGTTTCAGTGTCTCCAACAGTTTTCAGCAGAACGGTCCAGAACTTTGTTCAAGCTGCACTTTCTGTGAAAATCCACAGTCTCTGGTGTTTCTGTGCGATTCCACTTTTGATGAAAAGTCAAAGGAGAAAATCAGAACAAAAATGGCTCCAGGCGGCTAAAATGCAGCAAAAATCAAAAAACAAAAAACAAAAGTCCCCGTGAGTCAAAGAATCAGAATATAATGACCTTATTGTCCGAGTGCATGGAAAATAAATAAATTCTGTTTTTATTATAAATACTCCTGAACTTGAACATCAGGACCGTACAGATGTTCAGGGATCAGATTTAACAGCAACTTCCAAAAAAAGAGGAGCGAGCCAAAACAAACGTCCTGCTGATTGAGTCAAGAGGAACCTAACGAGCAGCTAGTAAACATTGTTCTGACTCTGCAGAAACTCTGAATGCAAATGAGTCAATCAGGCTGATGGAACAGGAATCAATGATCAAGAGCAAACACGTAGCAGAAAGTCAACTAACCGTTAATTACAAAAGGATCTGACAGACGGATCACAGAGGGTGGTGCACTTTATTGATCCTCCACCCCACCCTTGTCTGATGATGATGATGATGATGAGCCCCTCCAGCTGGCTTTTGTCCACAAACTGCTGCCAGACAAAGACAAAGACGAGAGACAGGAAGCGCGCTCTTTGTATCAGATGGCCCGTAACGCTGCATAAAGTGAAGCAGGAAGGGTGTGAAGAGGTTTTACACCAACTTCCTGTGGGCGCACCCAGAGGCAGGAGCTCCAGTCAGACACCTCCATCGTGGAGGGGGCCCTCACACCTGGTAAAAACAAACGTCGTCTCTGAAGGCGTCTCCCAGGCCCTGCTCACGTTTGGTTCTTTTCAAAACGGTTTTGAATCTGGGGGATCCGACAGCACGTGGTCGACTCTGGAGCAGCAAACAGGAAGTCAGCAGGTCTGATGCCTCCGTCAGAAGGACAACATCTCAACACGGTTCAGAGCCGTGAGTTATTAACGAGCTTCATTACCCAACAGACTGTACGTTGATATTTCCTGGCTCAGCAGCGCTCTCCACTCTTTACGTCATGCAAACTATTTATAGAGAAAAAACCGCTGCCCTGTCACAAGTAACCAGGATGTACTTACAAACAACATGGCTTCCAGTGGCGCGCCGTGCATTTTACACCTAGGCCTTCAGTGGCGTCCAGCCTGAATCTATCTACTTGACACGGTCATGATGACTTTTCATCTGCTGCCTTCATACATCTCCTCCTACATGTCACTGCGTGAGTGCAGCTACAGCGTGCGCTCTCAGGACATAATTACCTGCAGTGTCCCCTCAGTGCGGACGGAACTAGACTAAAGGTTCTTCTCCTGCTTCGCTCCCGTTTCCTGGAAAATCTTACAAAAAGATCTGAAGCTCTCGACCTTGACCTCTCTAAGTGGCTTCAAACATCTGCTAAGTTCATGGCAAAACCCAACACAGACATGTTCCTGTTTGTAGTTTTTTTATATCTCTTTACAATGTAGCTGTTTTTTTAACATCATTTCTTCCATTTACTTTTCATTTGATATGTTTTTTTATGATTGTCTACCGTTGTCATCATTCTTTGTCTAAAACAGGTCTCTTGTAAATGAGTCCTCGAGGCTCAGTGAGACTAACCTGTATAAATAAAGGTTGAATTGAAATGACACCATGGCTACAGAAACCATCGGGATAATACGGCGCTGCATCGCAGAAAGATGAAAACAACATTTAGCACCAGTGGTGTGCACAGTACCACTAATCCACTAATACCGGATCTAATTTTTTAGCATTTTTGCTAACTTTGGAAACCGTCAGTGGATTTAGCTTCTGCTAAATTAGATTAAATAAATAAATCTTCCATTGTGATCGTGTTCAAATATTTCCGTTTGGTACGCTCCAAGCTCGTAACTTTATTTGTTAAATATCAAATCCATCGACTCGTTCACTGAAGGCGAGTTAGATGTTCCTAAAACTAACAAGGAAGTTGTTCTTTGATCTTTTATCGGTTGTCATTGATCATGTGATGGCAACTGATTGACAACACGTAAATTAGGGACTGCGGCCGCCGTATGACGCATCATTACACGAAGAGAAATCACAAAATACATTTTCAGAAATGTCACGTTCGTATAAATCTACAGAGCTTTTAAATGATGATGATGTCTAATGTGACCAAGAAAAAAATGAAGATATAAAAAACATGCTCTGACTACTTTATTATTGGGCCCATGCAGCGAATTGTGTCATCATTTGATGCGATATAACGAAGTTATGAGCTCAGCCTCGGAACAAAGACTGAAAATTTAACCTTTAAAACAAATCCTGCTGTTTAATTATGAACACATTTCAACGTGTTGATGTTTGTCTGTGACTGACGGCACGTTGTAGCTGAAAGAGCCACAGGTCCAACAGCTCTAAAACGATTCAACACTAAACTGGATCAACTCACCCATGAAACGTCTCGATCCACCAATAAATTTCCAACAAAACGGATTTTTAACGAAGAGTGAACAGCTGATTCTTTTAGCTGAAACTAAAGAGGGACTGCTGTTTAATTATCAACAATCAGCTGCAGCTGGGTTTTCTCAGGTTGTTGTGTGGGGACACCTCAGTTCAGTAGGAGAAGGTACAGTGGTACCAGGAGGCCGGACCACCTCAGACGGTGGTTTACGTGCACTTTGAGGGAGTTCAGAACCGGATTTAGTGACATCTGAGAGCTGAAAACGGAAGAATTTGACTTCCCCGGAGGAAAAACATGAACCTAACTGGGCTGACGTTAAAAAGGCACTACAGAAGGTCCCAAACCAACCAGAACAAACCCAGAAGAAACTCACCAGTTTGACGTTCTGGGATCCAGAACGTTCATTAAACCTACGTCATGATCTCATCATCAGAACATCTCATCTTTTCATCTCATTTTTGAAACCCCTCGGTGCTCAGACGGAACGAAGTGTTCATCTTTTCTTTATTTTATGAAGACAGGGTCATCTCAGAGGGAAGGATTTTGTGTTTTTGTCAATTCTGAGCTTCTTGATACAAAGTCGAGTTTGTTCCGAAGCCGAACGCTGTTGGAACTTCAGACTTTTCAAAGGCCAGCAGTGAAACTGAAACAATGTTTTTAACTAAAGTTCTGGATCGGTTTATAGAAACATCTCCGCTCGTGTGTCGCTTTCGCCCACCAGAATCAACCAAAGCTGAATATCTCGGGAGATCTTTGCTCGTTGAGCTGAAGTCCACAAAAAGCAGCCTTCCTTTCCAAACCACCGCCCCCACATCCCCCCCCGATTGCTAATTTCTATTTATATACCATGAAGGGAAATAATGAAAACCAGACGAGCGGGCGGAGGAAGGCCGAAGCCGTGGAAGAGGACGACTGTTTATATCCTGCTGCACCGCGGGCCGTGGTCGGGCTAAGAAAAGGACTGCCCCGGTAGGATGTGTGGGCTGGAGGTTCCACCGTGACTCACTTGGTAGTCATGCATGTTTGCACTTGTATGGTTTAAAAAAAGTTGCAGAAAGGGATTCGCCAAGCCTAACAACTCCAAACAGCATTACGTGGGCGTGTGGAGCTGCTAAATTTACTCCTGAAACAAGTGCGGGGGGGGGGGGGGGTCATCAGCGTATATGAATCTCTTCATGATTCAGATTTCTTACACAGTTCTGGTCTCCAGAACCACTGGTGAGGCAGGATGCCTGGAAGGTGAAATAAACTTAAAAATGTTCTTTATCTGATTAGACCAAAGATTTAAGACGCATTAAAGACCCGACAGAGGGAAGTTAGTGGGAGTAAAACACGTTTTTTCTTTTTTTATTGTGCCTAAAGCTGGAAAATATCAAGTAAACACCTCCTTCCTGTTCTGCGCCTCCTGAATATATCTGCTCCGTCCCCCTTCATCCGTACGGAGGAACTACAGCCAGACCTGGAAAAAGAAAAAGAAAGAGGCCTTCCCTATTGTTTCCCTCATGCAGGAGTGGACGGGGCTCGGATTGCATTTCTAAAAGGTAACAGGAAATTGACAAATCACTAATCCGCTCTTTAACTATTCAGGACGACAAAAGGTGCATTCCAACGAGTGGGCAAAGAAAAGCCCGGCGAGTACGGACGGGACGCCTCTTTAATGCGTCGTAGTCTTGACTGAAAATCAAAACAAGACACTTCCCTTCGGCTCAGGAGCTTCGAGTCTGTGGATTATTTAAACAAAACCATTTGAAACTGCAAAAAGCTTCAGCTGGGCGCTCGTGTCAACACAGCTCTGGATCCAAAGAGCCCGGCCCGTTGCATGCAGCACCGAGGGCACCCGAGCCTCCGCGTTTGATTATTAACAAGTTTTACTTTAAATTGTCGCCCGCGCTGTAGAAATGAACGTTAAAGAGTTCGCTGATGCTGCAGTTTGGAGTTGAACCCGGTCGTTGTCCAGACGTGTTGATGTGCAGGTACGCACTCAACAAAAACAAAGCCCTCGAGAACCACGAGGAGTCATGTGACCGAGCGTCACAGCTTGTGTGTCCAACTCAAGGCCCGGGGGCCAAATGTGGCCCTCGATGACATCTGGCCCCCAAGATGATACGTGAAACATAAAATACTTTTATCACTTGAACTTTTTCAGTAATCTTTGATTACGATGTTGAAAGCACAACAGAGAACATCAAATGAGACAAATCAAACTCTTGTTGAGGAACCTGTGACCAAGAAAAGAGGTTTCTGAAACTGGCCCTTAGTTTGAAAAAGGTTTTAATTTTGGCCCCCGTTGGTGACGGACACCCCTGCTGGAGGGAAACCAACGAGAGCAAAACGATCTCTGAGAAGACGCTCAGCTGGAAATGTAAAATCTGCTGGAGTCGGAAACATCCTGCGAGTGAATGTTCGTACCGACCAACACGTTTTTATATCGACACGTCAACGGACAGCTGCTGCATGTCGGCCATTTTAGTCACTTCACTCCACAAGGTCCTGGTTCTGAGGTCACCTCATTTAACGAATTAAAAACATGATCATCCTCCTGAAACATGAGCAGCTGGAGCAGAGTCAGAGCTGAAGGAACTCATCACAGAATAAAAACTACAGTCTGAGGATGAGACAGGTTCTCAGGACCAGCAGATCCAGACCCCGTCAGACCTGAACCCTCTGGATGTGATGAAGATGGAGGATCACACTCATCAAACAGCTGAGCTGTCACTCAACAGAAAGAAAGGTGGGAGCTCTTCAAGAGCTGTGCTCAAAAACTTGTGGGTTTTTGTCCCAAATATTAATTTCTGATCTCCGTTAAGATCAAACATTATTTTTATGTAGAAAAATTATTAAAACCTTGTCTTTTTTAAGATTACTTCAGGTCTGAAAACTTTTTCTAGTTTCTGTTTGTCACAATCTGCAAAGAAACACCTTCAATAATAAACTGTTTATCTGTCAGCTGCTTCCTCCTTCAGTCGTCGCCACGGCAACCGAACGGGCATGGAAGATTTGACAACAACCTGATCCTGCTCAATAATCCAGCAGATTAATGTAAAGTTCAGATAGGTCAGTAATCCATCAGAATAATGTAAAGTTCAGTCAAGTCAATAATCCATCAGAATAATGTAAAGTTCAGTCAGGTCAATAATC